TGAGTTTAGACCCATTGAGACTCATGCAGCGCTTCAGTTCTAGCTCCAGTCTCTGCTCTGTGTGGTCCGTTCAGTGGAGGTGTTTAACCCTCAGAGCCTGAAACAGCTGCTGAACTGGAGCTCAGATGAACTGGTCAGTCATTGGACTGTCTGTGGTCTCAGGCGTCCTGGTGCTGGACGTTGGTCAGTATTTACTGACCAGGTCTCTGTGAACACTGATTTTTTTTTTTTTGTCCATTCATCAACCTTTTAATAAATGGCGCCTTTGAACATAACGTTCTTGTTATCACAGTCAGCTCAGTACAGACACAGACACAGACACAGACACCTCTGTCATCTGTATTCACCCATTCTTGGGGGGGGGGGGCAGTCAGTGATCAGGGACTGAGGGACTGCTGGAGCTGCAGATGTTCAGCTGTAACTTGTTTTAGTTTTTTTCACCTGATGCCCCTACAGCCCATCTGTGGTACTGCATGTTTGGCTGCCATGTTTTCCAGTGAAACTAAACCACAAAATCCCCAGTTTTTAAACTAGGCATGAGTGGGGTTAGAACCCGTGATCTTGGACCTGGTTTATTGACTAAATCATGTTTTGGTTTAGTGTTGAGACCAGGACTGAAGGGGTTAAATGTTTTTGTGTTACTGCTGACTCCTAGTGGTAATTCATGTGTTGTACTGTAGTGGTCGTATGAGTGAGGATGACTTGACTCACACACTGTGGTAGAAACATCATATGTTCAAGTTCCCGGTGTCTTTGTTGGGTTATTTTTACACCACCGAGGTATAACTGAATCCTTTGTCTCTCTCTCTCTCTCTCTTCCCCATCTCTGGCCCCCACACCCTTCCTCCCTTTAAGAGAAGTTCAGTTTTTACAAGTTGATTTCTCTCCACCTACCTCCCTCCCTCTCCCTCTTTTGCTGAAAATGACTCTTCATCTATTTTTACTCCTTGGTTCTCCACTCTGTGCCTGTTCCACCCATTTCCCCTTGGTTTCTAACTGCCCCTACTCTCCCGTCCTCTGTGGAGGCAGTCTTTGTTGTTGTCGTCGTCGTCGTCTTCATGTGTGTTGCTTCAGTAGACCACATTTAGTTCAGTGGGAGGGTGGGGGGGGGGCAGAA